ATAATGAAAATAAAACATATCATTAACTATCCATGTGTCCCTCACAATCTTATTCTTTTCGCCATACAGTTCTTTATAATGCAAGTATATTACTCAACCCTCCAAAATTGTTAGCCCTTAGTACGTCGATAAAGGCTGAAGCATTCCACTGATACTTTCAAACTCTGCCTTCAATTTACTCACAAGTATACTCGATCGGAGATAAACATGACAAAAGTCAATCGGTTGGTTTGTGTGACTGTTTGCAATAAATCATTAACAAACACAACTAAATTTTACTGTGAGTGTCAAAGACGGCGTCCTCGAATAAGAGTAAGAATGGTAAATCTCAAAAGCTTACAAAACTACACAAATTGGTTTCATTCATTTGTTATTAATGTTATCTTAATTGTTGTTTAATATAAATATGTACCTTAATATTTATATAGCTTGCAGATTGGATAATTGCTTCTAAAACTGGCGCTTTTCCGCGCCAAAGTCAAGAGACATTATTCAATTTCCTCTCTGACGATAGAAAATGCTTTACAAGTGAAAAAAAATTAAGAAATAAACAATCTAGATACTTAGTAAATATCGAAATCGGTGTGCATTATGTGATTCCGAAAGTTTTGTTTGCATAACATGTAATTTATAATTTGCACGTGATTTCTGCCCTTATTTCTTTATCTCTTGACGCAATACATTTCAATGTTGTTAATTGTGAAGGCTCTAATGCATATTAACCAGGAAGCACATCTTCCCATTTCTACAATTTCCAACTACGCAGTAAAAAAAAGCTAGTTGTCTCAAAATTCTCTAGAGGGACGTTAAACAAGACACAAACAAACAAACAAACAATAATTAATAGATTACCTGTCCGTTATATGTGAACGAGGAAGCGCTGCAAAACAAATGAATTGTTCTTCCAAATCCCTGAGTGGTGAAATTTTGTTCGTCAACAACCCCATTGTCGTCGTACATCAAGATGGGAGATACTTTCCACTGCCCATTTGCTTTTTAAAATTAAAATGATAGTGAGAAGGTGAAGAATAATCATAAAGTAAATTTAACAATGAAACACTTCTCAGCTGAATCATAATTGTTATTAAAATAATCACCTTCAGTCAAAGTTTTTGTTTTTATGAATAACGTCGAATTTGCACTTCCTTTTCCACATTCACTCGTGTATTTGTCGTAGCCCGATTCACACATAATTTCTAGGTATACATCACTTTGTATGATGTGGTAAAAGATCTCAGATTGTTGTATATGTTCGCATCCATCTTTGCTTCTAAATACTGGTACGATAATAGGAGGGTCTTGTAGCGATATTTCAGTAAATTTTCCAGTGATATTCTTGCACCATCTAATGTTCTTTTAAAAAAGTTAAAAATCACTTTTAAGTTTAAAAACATGTTATTTGAATCATTTTAGCATCACCAGATATTATTGATTTCATTTATTCCTTAGATATGGTTTACTTTGATATACTTTTATAGGTATTTTGCTTGCAAAAGATGTCAGGTGCTTTTTGTAGATCAGTTACAGAAATGATATCCGTACATCAGACTTTAAAGTTTTTAAAAAAGTACGATCAATCTGTTGAAATTAAATAAAATCCATATAATAAATAAAAAAAATATATTATCGTTAAGAACAAACAGACAGAAGTTTAGTTCTAAGTTTTGATTTAGTTCATGAAATACCAAAATGAAATAAAGAGTTCATAGTCATTGAAACTCATTCTGTACTTTAGCGTTGAATTTCTATAATATGACCTTCAAAAAATATGGTTGTGTTCTAATGCTTCAATCCATTTATGGAACTTTGGAAAGGGAAGTCACAAAAAGTAATGAAAAGATGAAGACTGCACACAGTGATAGATCTTTTTAAAATCTAAAAACAATTTTTTAATTCTTTGAATACATAGTATAGGTTATAAAACGGAGATGATTAAAAATTCAACAGGTATAAATGGGATGTCTAAGAGAAATAGCATCTTTTTTAGAAGAAATACCCCGAGAGCACCAAGCATTGAATATATAGATGGAATATTCACTAGTTAAACTTTGTGTTTAAAACAAACTTAATTAGACTTAGGATTTGGTATTTAAAAAATTCAGATTACATCAACAAGAGCACTGTAAGATCTATTAGTTAACGAAATGATGACTTTCAATACAATTTGTTGATCTCCCTATAACACCAACTTATTTGATAAAAGTCTGATTTCTATTATAATTTTGATTACACTCAAACCATACTCCTAAGATTCCAATAATTGTTGGATTCTATAATACCTTGAACAGATGAGAACAAGATGGTAAGAAAACATCACTCAATACCTAATTATAGTTGATAAAGTAAAAAACTGTCGTCATCTCCTTTGTCACACCATGTAGTCATTAGTTGATTGTTATCGATCAGAGTCAGTAAGAGTTCCAAATGTGAAGTGGATGTAACGAGTATACGATAATCAAACAATAAGACAATGGTAATAAATCGATCGTAAACTAAACACAGGAGGATCGATATCAAGTAATGTCTTTAAAATCATTCAAAAATACCCCCCTACTTTATTATTGTCAATAAAATCCATTTTTACTTCGCTTAATTTTTAAGTAAAAACTTTTCATTCTTTTTTTGGAGGTGGGGGGGGGAGGGGGGGGGCGCATGTACACTATCCAAAAAATTTTTCTTGAAAACTTGATACCACCTCAATCATAAAATAAAGCAAAGGTTTAACTTACTTGGATTGGAAGGCCATTTATACTTTTAACTTTTGCGGTGCATTTAAGCTGTATCACGTCTCCTGGTTTTTTCCCGCTGCTTTTAATAATAGTTAAGTATTGAATTTTCTTCGGAGATAGACCTATACAATAAAATAAATTATACAAAAATATATATGTAGCTATTTAAAATTGATTTCTGTATATTCATTTTTCTAAAAAAAAACATAAACCTCTAGGAAAATATATTTTTTAAATTGGCCAGGTTAAATGTAACTGAAAAAGATGTATTATTCTTCAATTTCTATTTGAATGGTTTTACTTAGGTTAAACATTCCTAATTAGACATATTTGGTAAATTTAATATTTTGAAATGGTAGAGCATGCTACAAGCGCCTTCTTTTGTTTAATTGAATACAGTTTGTGCTAGTTATCTTGAATACTAGCCGTTTGTTATCTCCATATTATTCATTATTACATATTATATATGCATTTTTTAAAAAAAAATCTACATAATAAAAATCTTACCTTTAGTCGATATGATACTTTTTTCTTGACTTTTGAAAATCTCAATTCCGTTTGACACTCTACATCGGAAGATGGAGTAGAGGTTTTGGTCAATTGCACATCTGCTCAGAATTAGAGACACAAAAATCTCTATCTTGCATGATAGAAGTACCTCAGATTCAGGATAACATTTATCAGAAGTGATAAAATAAATTTCCAAGTTCTGATATGTTTTCAGGATGTAGGGTCCTGTGACGTTAATCATTGCAACTTCTTTCCAGTCTTCTCTGGTGTTGCTTTTCCTTATTTCCATAACCATTTCAGGAATTATGTTATCTTTATTGATATATTCATTGAAGTTGCAGGAGAGAGTTACGTTATTTTCCCCGATTTTAGTTGACGGACTGACAGACAAGTGCCATTTTCCTGTATGATTGATATACATTTCGATAAGATAGACCAGCATTGTTACAAATTCATGCAACTATATATTATCAAAAATGCTAACGTACCTCTACAAAATGGACAGAAAAACAAAAACAAAATCACCACACACATGTACATGGCTAAATGAAGGAAGTAAAATATTCTGCAATGCCCTTGAACTGAACTGTTGATAAAATATCTTATAAAATGTTTTAAATGGTCTACAACCGAGATTAACAGAAGGGCGGTACTGGTAGTTTTAAAAATGGAAGAAATGCCTCTGAAACCCAGCTGTTTGGATATCAGCAGATATAAATGCACTTCAAACCTAACGAAAACTATTGAAGGCTAAGCATTTCAGGCAAGTTTGTTTATTTCATAATTAAGCATTTTCTAAGTATATATTTTTTTTAATTGGGAATCATATAAACGTATGGATACATTCACTGTCTTTGACTATCTTTGATAAAAAGTCATAATGATGGATCAATTATACATCTACATTAGAGCTTCAAACATAGAATGCCTTAGAACTATTGGTCTTTTTTTAAAATTATTATAAGATGTTGATAAATAAGCTTTTTAAATAATTATATTTGATGAGTTTGGTGGTTATGAAATGCTTTAAAATTGAAAATGCTGCCCAACTGGTCAAGTTGAAAGGGTTTGATTGTCTTTTACCACCAGGTTGTCAGATAGCCTGTTGTTATTTGATTATTTTTAGATATTAATAAGAATAAAACTTCCAGGAACTCCAATCTATATGTGTATGTTATTCCTTGTAATTTTCTTCCAAGATGTTTTGCGAAGTTATGTGCTCTTAATGTTGACCACGTTTTTAATTAACAGAGAAATTTCGGACGAGAATTGTCCTCACAACACCCTAAAGCAGCCACAGACGCACCCTGTCAGTGAAATGCGTAAAATTATGACCAGCACTTGTGGTGCTGACATCTTACATTTTAATGTATCCTTACCTTATAGTTTGAATAAAATTATACTTCCTTCCATGTCACTTTTAAATAAAATATAAAAACACTGATTACAGATATTATTGTAATAAGCAGTGCAAATTTTGGCGCATACCGGGTATCTAAATAGGCACAAATTTGTCCATGTTTCCAATAAGTACCATTAAAAAATTATACATATATTTCTAAAACCTTGCATATACTTTGCGTAATCTTTTTTACAGATCAACGTGTATCAGCTTATGAAAGAAGTCAGTAAAATGTGACTAGAAAAAAAAGTAGCACGTGTTTACATTAATTTTAATTGTTATATTCTTACGTCATTAAGGATGTATTTTTGTTCGATGTATTTATATCTTATGTTCCTTTTTTTAATCTTCACTGGTTGAGTACAGTTAAATGATATTTGTTATTGTTAAAACTCTATTTCCTTTTATTTAAATTAAAGCAAATAATATTCGACAATTAACTATGTATACATATATTTCATATGAGAACCATACACAGGCAATCTAAGGTAAAAATGATGCCTATTTCATGATTTCTTTTTCAATGAGCAAATTATTTTAATAAGCGATATTCATAAAAAACAATACTGTGGGGACACTGAATAATTTGTAACCAGTATGATACTATTACTGAAAATCTTCCTTATTGCAAAACATCCTTATAACTCAATTTACTTATATTTTATAAGAGTGATTCAAGAGTTTGACTCTCTATCTCTATGTCTTTCTGATTCTTTCTCTCTCTTTCTCTAAAATGTAAAAAATAACTTTTCAGTCAGACAAAATATCCTTGCAACACATATTTAAGTAAGTGAACATATTAACTTAGCAGGTAAAAAATCTTAAACCTCCCATTTCTTGCATTTGTTATCCGTGACCAATTTAGATAGAATAAAAAAATTAAGTACTTGAAATCAAAGATTACGTGCTTCATATGATTTTTTTTTGACATCATATGATCATGTATGTCTGGCAATTGGCATCCAAACATGTTTTTGTGTTGGGGTATAATAATTATTAATTACTTAATCGTCCTTTAAATCCAGGTCATTTCATATAGGGAAGTCATTTACTAGGAGCTTGTCCTATAAATCGCATTTCTTGATGCATCATTCCTACTTAAATCGAATAATTTCATCTTTAACTTTAGAATAAATCTACTCTAAACATATCCCGTAAAATAGGAAGAATGCTTCCTGGTGATTAGCAACCAAGATATGTCATCTGCATAATTTCAAAAACCACACATAGGTACAAAAAAACTGAACCTGCTCCAAAACGCTAAACCCTGGTTAAAAATCTAAAAAATATAGACCTTAATCATTTTCTGATCAAAATTTATAGTTCTTCAATTATCATCAATGTCAATTATCAAACTTAAATCAAAATCTCGAATATTGGAAAAAGTAGATAGGCAGCAGGATCTGAAGCAAGAGTAGTAGTATACATCCCAAGAATCATTCAGGTAATCTTGTCAAAAACAGAGGTTAGAGAGTAACCTATTAAATGGTTTTGCCAATTAACTTTGAAAACTCTTTACTCATCCTGAAATAATGTTCATATCTACATCTTCAAAATGATGTAAATATGTCGGGTCATAAAATCTGGACAGATTAAATTATATGTAGAATGATCATATAAATATGGAACAAAAACCATAAAAAATTAAAGAAATGTTTCAAACGGGATTTAAAATGTTGAACAATTTATCATTACATACAAATTCCCTTATATCATCATTCGGCGTCAATGCCGTTGAGTTCGACATAAATAGTGACCATTTTTAAATGATTGTGTCATTACAACGAATGCGTCATTGTTTCTTTATACATCTTTCCCTTCAGGCTTAAGATACATGTGTTTTTTTCTTGATAATATTCCCTTTGGTAAGATCCTCACTTGACTCAGTATTAATCAGATCTCTAAAGCTCATGAGCAACTGGAACCTTCGATGTATTTTATTTCTCTATAACCTGTTCAAATATTTAGCATTTCATTGTTTCGTTGGGTGATGCTTTAAATATAATATGGAAGGAAGACATTTCTATTCATCTGATGTCATATTTATTTAAACCCCCGAATTGTTTTGATATTCCATAAAAAATATCTTTCTTGTAGGTTCAAATTGAAATCAAAAATTGAAAAATATACTTTTTAAATGTGCTAACATTATATATTATACTTTTATGTAAATTATCTGATTGGTCGAGAAACATTTGTTTAAAAAAACACTATTACCCGCTGAATAATGAAGCTACGCCGCCCTCCAGGGTAGCAACAGTCAACATTGCGTGACGACGGGAGATATTCCAAAAAATAACGACTGCGCAGAATTTATGCGCGCACGGTTCATTGTTATATGTATTTGTATAAAACACTCAGTATGATATAATAAATATTGCATGTAGTTGAGTGTTAGATTGAAAATTTTCACCCCTCGAAAACGCAGTCGAGGTTGACAATGGTTTTCAATGTTACACTTCACTACATGCAATATTTATATAATGTATGTCTGTCACATGAGTGTAATAATAAAATGAAAACTGTCTAATCCGACACCTGTGCAACTCGTCACACTATCAAGTCCGACGTAAATTTTCATTCCAGTTTTACACTGTACACGGTGCATTCCGACACAGAATTCATCTCCCGCAGTATGCCGAATTAGACAGGTTTCACTGCACGATTAATACCGGAAGACAAATACTCATGCCAAATGTTCTCCGTCAGACCGTGGTACATGACGGTTTTTCAAATTTAAGAATTGCGCTGATTATCCGATAGAGGAAAATTGACCAATGAAACGAAGAAAAATTAAAAAGAAGAGAAATTGGACGTCAGAACTCTATGTGAAATGAAATTCGGTCAGTAATTAAGGTTTATGATCGGGACTGACAATTTGTCTATTTAAAACATCAATTCCGCAATTTGGTACTGTACAGGGAACTTAGTTTGTTACATTAATCAGCATCAGCATCAGAATAATAATCAGCATTCAGCTAGCGTCAGGATCAGCATTCAAAAAACAGCATAACCAGAATCAGCATCAGCAAACATAAGATATAACTAGAATTAACCTACTGAAAAACAGAATAATCCTGCTAGCATCTAAAAATCAAGTTTTTTCTTCTGCATAGGAAGGAAAATGTAATGGTCAACTAGTTAAATTATTCAAATAATTATTAATAAATAGATAAATTTTTTTATTGAAATAATTATGTTAGACACTTTAATTGCTTAAAGGACAGATAATACAAACAAACTTTTGTCAAAAAAAATTGAAAATAACAACTTGGTCCATGTTAAAATAAGTAAAATGAATAACTTTCACCGCGTAGTTTTTAATTTTAACACAAATTTTCAAAAAAATGGAATTTCAAGTGAAAAATATTTGCACATGTATAGATTAATAAGTATGATGTCAGAAGGGCAGACTTTTGAACATCACAGGAGGTTTAGAATGTCTTTATATTCTAGGAATTTATTATTTGCTGCATTTGCAGTGAAATTAGCAAAAAAATATATACCAATCCAGGCATCTATTTTTTGTTTGTATCATCTGTCCTTAAACAGCAATGCTTAAACTCAATTCTCTACGTCCGGTAGCATTGGCCTTATTATAAAACAGCATCAGGATAAGGATAAAAAGCATTAAATCAGCTAGCAAAGGAAGCATTCAAATCAACATCGGTACTGTAAAAAAATTGGTTCCCTGCACTCTAATTAAATTGTTACATTACTAGTACATTAAAAATAGTTGATGAGTAAAGAGAGCCCAAACTTCATTTTACTAAGAAAAAAATGTACAAAATAAGAAACACAAATAAAAAGCATTAAATCAGCTAGCAAAGGAAGCATTCAAATCAACATCGGTACTGTAAAAAAATTGGTTCCCTGCACTCTAATTAAATTGT